CGGACGGAGGAGTGTGAAATTTTCCACACTTATAGAGAATATAGAGAAGAAGTGCACAATGCTAATATTTTTTAAAACAATGCATAAAAGATACATTAAATCAATAAAGAAAACATTACACACACTACATACCATGCATTTGACGCACACACGCATGCATACTATTTATTGTCAAACTTTTGTTATTGATGTCTGTTGTCAAACTGATATTAAATATTGTTTGTCTTTGATAATATTTTTTATAGTGTAGTCTTGGCGAAATTTGTGATTATAGAAGTATAAAATACAATCATAATAGTGTACAAACTTACAATTCCAATTAATTTAAGTATAGTCGAATTTCGACTACTGCGGGACCTCTAGTTTATTAGAAATATGTATTAAGTTCACGTAATACCTACACATAATCGAAACACTTTTAGTTCCGAGTCTAAAGTAGACCATATTCTCGTGATTCAATGCAACCAAAAAAAAATCGGGTCGTCGACCGCTACAATACAACTCAATTTATGAACTTATTGAAAATATAAAGTATGATAGTTCATTTATTTGCATGTAGAAGAATCATGAAAATTTTCATGAACTATCAAGTGATACTCAAGTGATATATTCTTAATCTATCTATACTAATATATAAATCTGCAGTGGTTTTTACGGATGTTCTGTTATAACTACTGAACCATGCACCCGATTGACTTGAAACTTGGTATCCATCCTTGATATCCATGTAGAAAATACATGTACTTAATGGATTGGCTAATATTGATATGAGTGTTGGACTCCCTACACCAGTTGCGGGGGCGTTAATGATGAGAATATTTGTAGAGGTGAGAAATAATAACGTTAATTTTAAATGTCCAGCGAAGCGGACGGGTACAGCTAGTTACTGATATTTTTTTGGCACAAAAAATCCCAAACTGTAGACATGTAGTTCGAATGGGGGAGACCATAATGCTAAGACAACTACTATATAGCAAACTATAGGGCCGCAGAAGTCGCGGCAGAACCAAACTCCGATGGTTTAACACTAAACATACCAAAACGGGTCAAATGACCCATTTTGAACTTTTGCATTGAAAATGCACGTATCATCTTATTGCTTTTGCACATTTGACTTCATGACTTTTTCTTACCAATTAATCTACAGTTATTATACTATTTTGAGTAATACTTGTCGTATACCGTAATCTACCCGCTATAGTAAAAATAGGTACCAGTAAGTGTTGGTATGATTAGTGTTAAAAATAACATTTCGTCTTGTGTTTTGTAGTACTATGTTTTAGTAATTCATATATCTCTATTTCTAAATAGTATAAAATAAAGTAGCCTTCTGCTTGTATCTCCGCTTACTTTTAAACCATACACCGATTTTCAAACGGTGTCAACTAATAAAAAGCGCGATAAAGTAGGCAGTAGGGAGGCAGAATATATACTTTTCAAATATATTGGCCGACTTAGCGGAACTATGGTCAATGGCAATAGTTTAAATCACTAACCTTGGTTAAATATTAAGACAAGGGGTAGTTAAGGCGGGCGAAACTGCGTAAAGCCCAACAATAACAATATCCAATGTTTCAATTAATAAGTAGGCATTATAATAATACATTTAAGTAAGGCCAGAACAGGTATTTACAATTCTTATTACACTAACAATATGTAATCTAATAACTAACAGTCTTGTAACCAGTACTATGTGTTTTCGGTGTGTGTGAGTAATATAAAATGAACAATTTAAGAGCCCTCTGATATTTCTGAAGACTATTAACGTTTATAATCATTTTGACTGCTGTTTCATTTTTGCACAATCATTTGAAGAACAATAAACAACGGATACTGTACTTAAAATGATTACAATTTTATGCAAACCGGCATATCTCCAAGTCCCTCTGACCAACATTGTTTAGTCTACATTTTACAACTAAGAATCCGGTGTCATTCAAAACTTCCTTTCAAAAGCCAGAAACGACACTCCAAGTTTATGTTTCTATTTACATAATCTGACCTGGATTCTGAACGTCCTGTCAAGGCACATCTACCATGCAACAGTGCTATTTCAAGGCTAGCTCGTTGGTTAGTGACGCAAGTATCTTTGCACAACGTGGGTGCTTCTAGCGCTGCAGACTAGTGTTTATCGAATTATCGGAGCGCAACGTGAATTTCGGCGCCCAATTTTCGATAAGATCGAAGCATTATTAAATTGAAATGACGAGTAACATATTCTTATAGTCAACAAATACCAATGTTGTTTCAATAATCTATATATATAAAAATGAATCGCTGTTCGTTAGTCTCGCTAAAACTCGAGAACGGCTGGACCGATTTGGCTAATTTTGGTCTTGAATTATTTGTGGAAGTCCAGAGAAGGTTTAAAAGGTAGATAAATGAATGAAAATGCTCAGAATTAAATAAAAATAGCAATTTTGTTTTTCCTTTAATGTGTCCCCCAGAAGTGTAGGTCTTTTATTTATCGATTGAGGCACTACGAAGTCTGCCGGGTCAGCTAGTTTTTAATAAAATTTCCGTTTCTTATATAATTCAACGGACAATCAAATGAAATCATAATGGATAGGACCATTAGTGACTCAATTACCGGTTCGCAAGTGAATTCACGAAATTCCCTCACACAAAGAATCAACACGACCCGGTTCTCGCCAGAATCAGCTAAGTCATATTTAATTGATTTAAAGATAGTGCCAGAATGTGTTCCAACAGAAACGTTACGTTTAGCAATCATTATTAAGTTTAAAGGTTTTATTTTGCATTGTACTCGATACAAGGTAGCCAAAGCCAAAAGTAGAATAACACCTTTTCTTCTCTTGTCCTAATAGTTAATATTTCGGGAGCAAAACTGAATTTAGCGGCCAGCGAATAATTAATTTTTAATGGTATTTAATAGATTGACAACGCGGCCCACGAACCCATAAAGATAACGCGGATATTACAGTCACCAACTTTGGAACATAATACCGAGACTCAACAGCATTGCACTAATGCTCCACACTTTTGAGAGAACTATTTCATATGGTAGTTTTGCAAGAAGTCGATCAATTTTTTACTATTGAATTCATTGTAACATTTCATTTAAATTTGACATTTAAAAGATTTGTATTATGTCTCGATCCATAGTCTCGTGTATTCGTTACACAAGCAAATTAAATTTTGTAATTTTAAACTGGTAATATTACAACTACATATTATATCTATAGCATTACATCGAATATTATTATGCTACTTAGTAATTTGTTCAGATTTTGCGAGTCGTAGGTTTCTTGCGTTTGTAATTTTTTAATGGCGGTACGGGATCTTGTGAGCCCGCACGAGAAGGTAACACCACCCTGCCTATTTCTGCCCAAAATCCGTTTGTACCGTAAAACTGAGACTCAGAACTCATGTCTCAATGAGGGCGGCGGTATTTACCTTGTTAATTGTGACCGGTAGAAACTTGAGGTGAACAGAGCCGTGAAGTCATTCGCCTGTTAAGAGCAACAATGATTTTATGTTGACTTGCCACAATTGCTTAGATAGACCATAAAGGGCGGTGAATCACGTATACAATCGTAATAAATGGCAACCGAAACCGTTTAAGCCGTGCTTTTGATAAAGACCACCGGTCATCGTTCTCGTCGAACCCGTCGCTTGCAACGAAGGGTTCGTCGAGTAAATTAACCCACAGACACAGCCCACTGAGCTTCTCGCCGGATCTTCTCAGTGGGTCGCGTTTCCGATCCGGTGGTAGATTCTGCGAAGCATGGCTCTTGTTAGGGTTCATGTTAGCAAGGTTTGAGCCCCGTGAGCTCACCTAATAGTTAAGGTTACGCTGAAATAGCCTCTCAAGGCTATCAGCTTCGGTAGGAAAAATAAAGATATAGACCAAATTCTTCTTCTTCTCCATCGTTCCCTCACTGGTGAGGATCGCGACCACATGTGACTTTCCTCCATAGTGTTCGGTCATGGGTGACACGGACCGCATTGTACAGACTACCAACAACCGCTTTCTTATCCAGATCTGACCATCTGGCTGGTGTTCTGACCACGACGCGCTTATAAGCGAGCATATATCACTAGAGAATTTAACCCACACTCATTTCAGTACGTCACGTACCTTACGGAACAAAATATGATTTTTCTTTCAACTTCACTTCGAAATCCTTACGCAGAAATTATAATGATGACATCTCTTTACATCATACACGATTTAATTTAAAACAAAAAAACGGTTACAGACGTAATGAAAACTTTTTAACATTTAAAAAGAAGCCGACGCCGAGACGAAGGCAATTCCGGTTTATTTTGTAACCGTTGATCAAATATTTTGATTGGCTTCAACAGTTCATTGCACTGTCATTATTTCAAACAAGATTAATTTACTTAGCATCGGCACAAATATATAATTTTAGAAAAGTTTCACCAATGCGCCATTAATTTTAATGAATGAACAAAAACTGCTCATGTTAAAGATGAATCATATTTTATGTAAATTGTACCCAAAGTGAAGTATTTAACCATATATGCCCAATACATTTGAAAACAAAACTAAACGAAGAATACAGTATAATATTATTGATTACCGACATGTCTAGCTTCCAAAAACAAAGCCAAGTTGAAATGTAATAACGCTTTTTCTAAGTGGCCCGAGCTAACCGTAAAATTGTGTAACAGTATTTTTATTTATTTCATAAAAGGTTGACCGAGCTCACGGCTCACCTGCCTATTAAGTTGTTACATCACAAAGTGTATGCTGCTACCCACCTTGTGACTTGTGAAAGTCATTCGTGGTCCATTTCTTAGGGCAGGAGCCGAACCTGATCCGAGGGTCACCTAGGGGGTACTCGGGGTATTTGGGACTTGAGGGTCTGCAGAAGCTGGGAACAGAGCGCGGGCCCTTTTTAGGACCCTGCCCACCAAACAACTCCCTTTGCACTCTCTCACCATGTCTGATCTTCGCCCGGAGTCTCGGGCGAGTAGGTCCCCCCCCCCGCGGTCAACAAGACAAAAGTCATTCGTGATTCTAAGTTAACGGCATGTCTCATTAGAAATATTACTATCTGCCTGCGGGACTTGAATACTGGCCTCCTCGCATCGCTCGATACGAGTACACCGGTCGTTTTATCTATTAGGCCACAGATACATTAAAATAACAGAATCTTTTTAATAAATTTCAGACATGCTACATTGAAAGTTGAAAAACAATGGCGATTTCCACGGTTGCAGCTACAGCCATTAAATCAGCTCTTGCCATCGGCGGTCTGCATACACTTACTTTCATACCGATAATGCTAGCGGCCATGGCCTATTTCAACTATGAACTACTAGATCCCGAACAAAGACCGTTCAATCAGAAATATTTGAGAGAAACATATGATTTCATAGTGGTCGGAGGAGGATCTGCCGGATCTGTATTAGCTAATAGACTGTCTGAAGTTGAAGGTTGGAATGTCTTGCTTTTAGAAGCAGGAGGTCACGAAACCGACATCAGTGATGTTCCCTTACTGTCATTGTATTTGCATAAGAGCAAACTTGACTGGAAATACCGGTAATTATTTAATTATATAATTAACACTTAGATCGTGGCGTAAAAAACGATTTCTTTTTAACAATTACCGAACCAGTTTAAAATGTCTTTTGTCATAATGAATCTAAACAACTTAAAAGAAATATATTTTCCTTATTATTACAAATGCTATTTATTAATGACAATTAATTGCCACAAATTTGACAAAATTATGAGATGCAAGCATTTTAAATGATTTTCAAAACTATTAAATCACATTTCAGGACCCAACCGCAAGACACGGCTTGCCAAGCTATGATCGACAAACGATGCAGCTGGACTAAAGGCAAAGTCTTGGGAGGCTCTTCAGTTCTCAATACCATGTTGTATATAAGAGGGAACAAGCGTGATTTCGATCAGTGGGAGTCCTTTGGAAACCCGGGGTGGGGCTATGAAGATGTCTTGCCGTATTTCAAGAAATCTGAGGACCAACGCAATCCGTACTTGGCAAAGGATACCAAGTATCATCAAACTGGTAATTAAACCATACGCAATGAAAACGCAATTAGTAACAGAGCAACCTATCCTGTTCAATTAATTCTTTGTTTAATATTTCATTAAAAATATCCTAATAGTGTGAATAGACAACATCACAAGGTAGACCGAGTACCTGTTGAAGTACGCGAGAATCCTCAGGGTGCAGGCAGCGCAACACCAGATGTTGGGGCGAGCCTTGGGGGAAGCTTATGTCCAGTAGTGGACTCCTGTAAGCTGATAGTACTTTGGGAAGGATTAGACTACAAAGGGAAGATCTTCAACCGAGCGGGTGATATTGCTCGATAGACCGACGGTCCTTAAGTTGTTGTTCGGAACTTGTATATATGCGCTTTATCTTGAAAATGTCGTAAGCGAGATTCAGGCATCTATCAATTATCTTGCGTTGTATGATGGCTACCCGCCACAGTACTAGTTGTATTTTTAATATTGTTTTATTTATTCAATAAACATAGCGACGCATTATATCCCCAAGTGTTTTTTAATCAATAATATTCCAAATTTGCTGTACTCAAACATGACGGAACAAAATAATTTTACTGGATTTTTGTTTTTGTTTTCAGGCGGGTATCTAACTGTCCAAGACTCCCCGTATAATACTCCGATCGGAGCTGCGCTACTCCAAGCTGGTGAGGAAATGGGATATGACTTTATCGACGTAAACGGAGCTCAACAAACTGGATATGCGTGGTACCAGTTTACTATTCGAAGAGGCACCAGATGTTCCACAGCAAAAGCTTTCCTGAGACCTGTAAGACTACGACAGAACCTTCATATCGCTCTATTCTCCCACGTCACTAAAGTTTTAATTGACAAGGATACGAAAAGAGCATACGGAGTCGAATTCCTTAGAGATGGCACTCAGCAAGTCGTTTATGCAAAACGAGAAGTTATATTGGCGGCTGGAGCAATAGCTTCGCCTCAATTACTTATGTTGTCTGGTGTCGGACCCGAGCAACACCTAAAAGAGGTGGGGATCGATGTGATTCATGATTCTCCTGGAGTCGGGAGAAACCTGCAAGATCACATCGCTGTCGGAGGCATTATCTTTCGAATCGATTATCCCGTAAGTTTGGTTATGAATCGTCTTGTGAACATTAACTCTGCTTTACGGTATGCCATCACCGAGGACGGTCCACTTACATCCAGCATCGGCCTCGAAGTTGTAGCTTTTATTAATACTAAATATGCAAATGCTACTGACGATTGGCCTGACATTGAATTTATGATGACATCATGTTCGACGCCTTCTGACGGAGGTACACAAGTGAAAAAAGCACACGGACTGACGGATGAGTTCTACAATGAAGTTTTTCAAGAAGTTAACAACAAAGACGTTTTCGGTATCTTTCCGATGATGTTACGTCCAAAAAGTAGAGGATTTATTAAACTACGCTCTACGAATCCCCTGGACTACCCTATAATGGTCCACAATTACTTGACGCATCCTGATGACGTTGGAGTACTGAGAGAAGGGGTGAAAGCCGCGGTAGCAGTTGGAGAAACAACAGCCATGAAACGTTTCGGATCAAGGTTTCATGCAAAACCTGTCCCGAATTGTAAGCACCTACCTCCTTATACTGACGAATATTGGGACTGTTTTATCCGTCAATACACCATGACCATTTATCACGTTTCGTGTACAGCGAAAATGGGTCCCTCTAGTGACCCGATGGCAGTTGTGGATCCAAGATTAAAAGTATACGGGATCGAAGGTCTTAGAGTGATAGACGCAAGTATTATGCCCACAATTACTAATGGAAATATTAATGCTCCAGTCATAATGATCGCTGAGAAAGGAGCTGATATGATCAAAGAGGATTGGTTACCAAAATCTAAAAAACGACGACGCAGAAGCATCAGATGCTCTAGATTAGAAAAAATTAGTTTAGGCCGTCATAATAGTAAGCTTTGCTCAATTAAAAGATGATGTAATGGAATTTAATAGAATAAGTAGTAAAATTAAGGGATTTTTAGTATACAGAGATACCAAAAGTGTTCATGTTCAAATGTGTAATGTGTAAGCGATCTGTTTCGCAGATTCTAGTCGGCGGTGTGCTTGAATAAAATAATACATTAGAAATATTTGTAGTTAAGTTGGACGCTATTAAATCGGGACCTCTTTTAACTTAGTCAATCTAGGTATTTACACAAAACAGAAAATTAGTTATATAAATCTTGTAAATAATCTACTTATTTAGTATTCGTTAATTTTGCTATAGCTTTTTTTATTACCCCGACGTAATTTAAATTTATTTAATTTAAATGATGTAAGACTTTTTTATGAGCAGGAATACATGGGTTTTATTTTTTTATTTCTTTCCTATATTGTTCTCAATATAAAACATTAGCGAGTGGTTAATAATTTTGTCTCTTCTCTGGTCTCGAACCTTACTTGAAGATAAATATCAATGCAAATGACATAAGCCAATTTATACCTACGTTCTTAATAAAGATTTTTAGTTATAATGATTGTAATAAACATGAACAGCTTACAATATTGCTGTACTTTTTATGCTTTTACCTGAAGTAAATTGACAGATTTGGTTTACATCTTGTTTTTACATTCTGCTTCTGCCTTTGGTCTTAATCGAGAGACGCGCTATCTTGAAATGTCACCACCCGAAAAGTAATTGTGAGCCATTCTTTGATCAATAATTTATAATTTAATACTAGAAGATGACCTATAGACTAGATGATGGCCGGTTTTTTTTGATAACGCCATTTTGTTGTGTCTTTAAAGCGGTTAGTTGCCCTCAATTAAGAAAAATAGTATTATTATTCGCCAATAGATGTCGGGAAGAGTTGATTATTGAAAACACGAATAAAACAACATTTTCTGAAAATAAATCGTAGCTAGGTCGATTTATCGCCCCCGAAGTCCCCTGTATACTAAATTTTATGAAAATCGTTGTAGCCGTTTCCGAGATTCAGATTATATATATTAATATACAAGAATTGCTCGTTTAAAGGTATAAGATAAGATTCCGACTCATGCCTTAAGATGGGCGACGGGAGTATATTATTATTTTATTATATATTTTATGCGTTGACCCATTGACATCTTAACACCAGGTAGACTACGAGGTGGTCTACTCATCTATATGATGCTACAAAATGACAATCGCAACGTATGTACAGAAATTCAATTTTCAACGCATTATCGAAACCATCGCCATCTATTGGCACCACAGAACAATATTATTACGCCAAATAGAATTCTGTTAATGAAAATGTAAAAACTTTAATTACCAACAAGGTCGACAGATGTCACTAAAGTCAGATTATCAAAATAGGCAGAGACGTCTTTTGTTTAAGGCGAATTTACATTACGAAATTAGTGGCATGAAATTAATTTCGTGACATTAGTTTTACCAACAGTTTCACGTGTAATTTAATACTTTCGTAATGCATGCATTAATTTCATGCATGCAAATTAGTTTCGTGCCCTGCGCGATATTTTGGTGAAATTAGTGTCATGCAACTAATTTCATAGTGTACTAGGCTGCACTAAAAGTATCGCCGATTCCGATAGAGGCACCCGTCACGCGCGGACGTGCTCATCGACCACTCGATCGCCCGGCCTTTGTTCGCCCGGCTTTTGTTAGCCCGGCCATTGTTCGCGCGGCCTGTGTTCGTGGTACATCTGCCGACCAAGTGTTTTTCCTGGAAGTTTTTATTTGTTTGGTTTCCTTTTGTTATTTCTGTGTTCGTGGTACATCTNCGACGGCTTCCAGATTCTAACTTATGTATGCTCGCGACGGCTTCCAGATTCTAACTTATGTATGCTCGCGACGGCTTCCAGATTCTAACTGGTTTTCAATACGATTTGATTTTACATGAAAGCTAAAAATGATGACTCTAATGGAAAAACAGTGAGCTCGTAAACGAGCTGATTAGGGCAAAGCTGCTTTGTAGAGTAGTGTGTAACAGTACCCCACCGCATTGTCCCATAAGGAACTTCGTTCCAAAAAAATTATACTGTTCCTCCTCCAGTCGACTATTTGTTTGAAGCTGCTTCTTCGTTATACGGAAATAGCAGCACATTACGAGGCAATACATTTCTGACCGCGAAGAAGCATTTATTTATTAGAGCTTCATTTTAGCACGATATTAAGCAATATGCATAATCTATACTTATTTATTTTATTTTATAATATTATTAAGCTGAAGAGTTTGTTTGTTTGAACGCGCTAATCTCAGGAACTACTGCTCCGATTTGAAAAATTCTTTCAGTATTAGATAGCCCATTTATTGAGGAAGGCTATATAACGGTAAGACCACTACAAGTCGAGCACCGATAAAGAATGTTTCAAAATAGTGGTTTAAATAGCTCCTTCACATTCTATAATTCAAAAATATCTTCACTTTCTACATTAATGAAGTGGGGGGTAAAATTTAGCGTTATGCCAAAGTAAGTATTCCACGCGGACGGAGTCGCAGGCAAAAGCTAGTTTAAATAAGAAGAAAAGTATAGTAGAGGGATGCTTTTTTGAAATTTCTATTGATACTCGTAATTAATAGCTAACATCAATAACAGTGCCAATATTACATTATAAATTAGTCCCTGAGTAAAAGCGCTACTTATTAATATGATAATGAATTTAGATTATACAATTTTTTTATTTATTTTTTTAATTATGTATGTCAGACCAAAACATCTTATTACCCAATGTGTGTTTGAATTAGGTAATATAGTCTTATAATTAATATGATTTGTATTTTTATTCAGTCGTAGCCATAACGCAAATTATTGTTCATGTTAATTACCATTTTTAATGTAATTAAAATAGACTAATTCGTTTAGACGGTCGTGTAATACTTTAGGAATTCGTGTTGCAGTTCGTTTATTTCTTATGAGATCTCGCGTATTTTATTCGACATAATTAAAGCTATCTACAGATATTTATTGAGCTTCAATGAAGGTTTGGAGATTTCGAGGTTTGGAGAGTAGTTACTTAACAGTAGGCAGCGGATTGACTCTGCCCCTGGCATTGCTGAAGTCCATAAGCGGTAACCACTCACCATTAAGTGGGCCGTATGCTCGTCTGTTTACAAGGGCAATAAAAAAAAGGTTTTTGTGATAGTACCATCAATGTATAGATGGATATCAATCCATCTATACATTGATAAAAACTATTCATCTGCCCATTCATTACATATTCTATTCTGATGAATAGAATATGTAATGAATGCTTTTTTATTGCTTAGATGGGTGGATGAGCTCACAGCCCACCCGGTGCTAAGTGGCTACTGGAGCCCACAGACATCCACAACGCAAATGCGCCACCCACCCCAAGATACAAGTTTTAAGGTCTCACGTATGGTTACAGCGACTGCCCCACCCTTCAAACCGAAACGCATAACTGCTTCACGGCAAAAATAGGCAGGGTGGTGGTACCCACCCGCGCGGACTCACATGAGGTCCTACCACCAGTAATTACGCAAATTATAATTTTGCGGGTTTCATTTTTATTACACGATGTTATTCCTTCACCGTGGAAATCAATCGTGAATTTGTTGGGTACGTATTTCATTAGAAAAATTGGTACCCGCCTGAGATTCGAACACCGGTGCATCGCTCAACACGAATGCATCGGACGTCTTATCCGTTAGGCCACGATGACATAAACTGTAACAAAAGGACAAAAATCTACACGTAAATAGAAGCGATTTTTATATGTTTTAGCAAAAATCAGATATGCCCTTACGTATCTGATATCAAGATTTGTTTTCATACCGGAGCCACACACGTTGACAGAGTGGTAAAGTTACCTAACCAGCCAACCGTACTGTATGTACGAAGCACAATAGAGATCTAGTTTATGCACGGTCATGTTATCTAGTCGCATTTCATTATGAGGTACCATTATGCAATGTTGTTATAAAACTTTTTAAGATACGAATTGCGCACAAAAATTTGGTGATCTAATCTCTTAGTTTGAGTAACGGTTGCGGAGCCTTTAAGTTTTAAAGGGTAAATCAGTGGGGTGGTGTNCGTACTGTATGTACGAAGCACAATAGAGATCTAGTTTATGCACGGTCATGTTATCTAGTCGCATTTCATTATGAGGTACCATTATGCAATGTTGTTATAAAACTTTTTAAGATACGAATTGCGCACAAAAATTTGGTGATCTAATCTCTTAGTTTGAGTAACGGTTGCGGAGCCTTTAAGTTTTAAAGGGTAAATCAGTGGGGTGGTGTAATTCTTTTTTTCATGTGTAATCCGGACCTCCAGAATCAAGGATCTACAAAAAACCAGCGTTGTATTTTCTGCGGTTTTTGCGAATCCTAAACATCATTAAAACGGCTCGTGTTTTTTGTTACAAAAATAAACCACGAGATTAAACCGCAAAAATAGTTTTAACTATGCAGAAAATCAGGTAAAGACGATCCAAACCGCAAAAATTATAATTTGCGTAATTACAATTGGTAGGGCCGAATCAGTAGTTAGATACGTTTGAAGTTCGGGACAAACGTGTAGGTGAGCTATATAGGTAACTATATAATCGAGACTGCGACCTCATGTCCCAAAAGGGGTGGCAGTATTGTCGTTGCGATGTCAAGGGGCTTCAGTAACCACTAAACACTAGGTGTACCGTGCTCACCGTTCTTAGTAACAAAAATAACAGCGTGTCTATTTTTAAGCAGTCATGCGTAAGACGGCTTAAATGTTAAAGTCTCAATTCGAAGGAACAGCCATTACAATATACAAAACTAGTTAAAACTTCTATCTTACACAATATCTTGCATTATAAATAAATTTGGAGCGCAATACCCCAAATTAGACCTTTAATTAACACAATGATGAGTTAAATCTAAAATTTTATAGATTTATATTGTAATTAACATTTATTATACGGGTAATATTATGTATAGATCGCGGCACTACTGCTCTTCCACTTACACAAATTACGCACGGTAAGA